TGCATAATAGCTAAACAAAAAATAATGTGGAATTTTAATTAATTTATATCTATACAAATTGCGGGTGGATTTGGGCTAAGTGGGTATGAAAAGGACCACAAAAGTCAATTCCAAGTTCTTTTTTTCTCTAATTCTATGACCTTAGATGAATTTGTTTTTTATTCTGTAAGATGCAGGCGAAATCTGCCCCCTACCTATCTTTTGGAGCTGCTGCAAGATTTATTAAACAAGGGGGAAAAAATCATTCAGAGGTCTGATGAAATAGGAGTTGTGTAAATACAAGGCAGTATTGTTATTTCTAAGAGGTGCATGAAGTCGAATTAACTTTTACAACATCCCTATGAGTCAGGTTCATAATCTTGCACTCATTTTTACAGATAAGAGGGCTTAAGCCTCCCTCTTAAAGCAACATAGAGGGGGTGTATAAGAAGAGGTACAATTACTGGATTCAGACCTCGGCTTGTATTTTTTAATGCCTGAAAGGACTTTTAAGGGAAGTTTTTAAAAAGTCTCATCACCCCTTTGGCAGGCAATTAGAAGAATCTGCATATTATTCTCTCTAATTTTCTTTCTGTGGTTCTTCATGAAATTTATCTGACATACAAGACACCTGGTCTCAATAGTATCCAAGAAGAGCCAAGCATTTTAAGAGCTATTAAAACACATTGTTCTAACAATGAGACATATAATGTGATTCAGTACAGCCAAGGCGAAGGTATCCATCAGATATGGAAAGAACAAGGAAAAGGAGAAGAAGGAAAACCAATGTGACAGATACTGTAGTTTGTGCAGTAAGGTTATATATGCAGTAAATACACCAATCTCTTTAACATTACCTTCCACCAAACAAAAGCAAATATAATTTAAAGAATACACATTTTTCCTTCAGCCTAAACAAACTTGTGTACTTGTTTCCAAATTTGCTTGTTCATCATTACTGAAAATGATTCTAGCTACAGTGCCTGGCACATAGTAAATCATCAATAAACCTTAAGTGGTATGAGTTGGATTTGGAGTAGAAATAGTGTTGCATGAAGTCAAGGGCATATTAGAAATAAGATACCTGGTTTGAAGCCTTGTCTCTTGTACTAACTTGCTTTGTGATAGGGTAGTTTAATGTGATCTCTAAAGTGGTACTTTATAATACAACAATAGTACTTAGCTGAGATAAATTTTATAAAAAAACAAATAAACAAATTAGCTGATACATGTAAATGCTTAGCTTGGTTTCTGGCATATGCACATGTCTGATTTACAAAGTGTTAACTTGTAGAAGTTGTGCAGAACCTGTGTCTCTCAGGCAGCCAGTCCTTGTTTACTGAGCATTTGTATTGAGCCAAGCAATGAAGGAGGCACTGGAGGAAGAACAGATGAATGTATGGGAAACCAGTCTTTACCTACACATAGCCTTTTGGGGGGAATACTAGGAAAAAAAATCAAATAAAATAATTGAAGGCTGCATTATATGCTAAGAAGTAACTAATAAAGGACTAATAGTTGACACAAAATATAAAAGGAGTTGTTTCTCCTTGGTTAGCGAGTCAGGAATGTCTAAGGAAGTATATTTAAAGTGAAGGTCTCAAAGAAATGAGATTAACTATGAAAATTTGGGGTGATGGCAGGCATTCCAGGGAAGTGGAGTAGCATATTCCAAGGTCGTGAGTCACAAGGCGTTGCCCAGAGGTGCTGAGTCATCTGGGTGAGGAGGAGAGCTCTGGACGGAACTGAGGGACAGGCAGGGCCCAGTTCATGCAGGCCTGATTGGATGTGGCGAGGAGCGTAGGTTTTATTCTGTTTGCTACAGTTAAGTCAGTGAAGGGTTTTCAAGAATGGCAAGAAAATGATGTTTTATATGCTCTGGAAAGAGTACTTTTGCTGCTTTGTTGGGCAAGGCACCTGAACTTTATTGATCACGTGCACAAATCAGCATGTGGCTCCAAATGTTCATAAATACAATATCCTCCTTCTCTCCTTCTCCACATACACACCCACACTCCCCCCATATATATGTTCAGCAGTAATTAAATATTAACAAAGTCATTGTTTTCTTCCTGCACACAATGAATTCTCTGTGTTACTACCATTTGCGCACTGGTATTCCATTTTGATGATGGCCAGCGTAGAGACAAGCTGGAGGAGAGCAACTGGGGAGCAAGGAGAGCTCTCAGAAGGTTGCCGAGCTACCTGGCTGAGGAAGGATGGTGACTAGACTCAGGGGGCTGCGTGTTTTTCACATACACAGTGAGAAGATTCCTTATTGGAATTATAGATCCATGTTCTCCATTGGCTTTTAATATCAACTACTTTCCTAATAAGTGACCCATCCTTAATGTAGTGTATTAATAAAACCTATTAGGGTGCTCAATGGGTTGCTGGAATGAAAACCCCTTGAAATAGACTAGCCTGCCTCCCCCTTGATTAGCCTGTTCCTTCAAGTCTTCCAGGAAAAGAGGATGGTTTAGGGAATTCCTGGCACTTTCCCTTTCTGTTTTTTGACCAAAGTCATGGGGATGAGAACTATAAGAAAAAAATGAATTTAATAAAACTAATACAATACTTGGAGCCAATTTCATGAAATGAATAATTAAATCAGGCAATAAAAAACTGTCTGCCCTCCATGAGTTCTCTGCAAATGGGCTGCAAGTGCTTTCACTTTAAAGGGATCTTCGTGACAGATGTATTTTTAACAAGGGTTGTAAACTTTTTTGGGAAGAAAAAAAATTTGAAACCAAACAATCTTAATTTTGCAACACTAGATTAAGACCAGAGAATTAGAATCCTCTAATTTCTTTTTCTTTTTTTCCTTTTCACTTTTCCCAGTCCTCTATTTGAACAGGAACTTATTTGGGTTATGACTCTTGAGTCCGGTTTTCCTCTCTTGGAGGAATTTCTCCTGCACTTATCCAGACTGAAAGGAGGTTAGCAGGGCATAGAAAGAAGGCATTAAACAAATGATCCTCAAAGCTCTGAAAACCTTTCTGAAGAGAGGGAAATAGCTGTCCTGGGCTTTGCCAAAGAGCACTTGCAATTTTGGAAGGAGGGTGGGCCTCCTTCTCCCCTCTCCTCTATCTAGAAGCCACAACCTGCCAGCCTGTATTCCTTTTGCAGCAAGGTTCACGCATGGGTAGGTAAGGCGCCTTTGAAAGAATAGTCTATGTCTCCTTTAATGACAAAGAGGAACTCCTTTGTCCTTTTAAGCCTGCCCACCTTGTATTGATCATAAGAACAATAATTTAAATTAGTTTTTGTTACACAACTCAGGGTTGGATTGATATAATAGAAATTACTCTTGGAGAGCATAAAAAATAAAAATTATCGTTAATTGAAGAATAATTATCACTGTTACTTTCAAGTTGGTCCCAACGCAAACTCAGAATTCACGTTTTTCAGTAAGGTTAACTTTGCAAGTGCGAAAATGGACAAAACTGTAATTTTGGAAATTGTACTATTTTGCTGTGGCATTCATTTATCCAATCAGTAAATATTCATTGACTAATTTAATAGTTACCATGTGAAAGGAAATGTTATTAGGCACATGAAGACTACAAAGCAATGCGAAAGTATTTCATCCCTTAGAAGCAAACTTTCTATTTCAAAAAGGCTTGGATATTGAGAAATTCTTTGTAATTTTCAAAGCCCATTCACCTACTATAAATCTTCATCTGAACTTTTGAACAGTAGAAGGGGAACTGGGCTGGGCAGATATTATAATCATACAATTACAGATTTTTAGGAATGGAAGGAATTTTAAAGGTCATCTAATGCAATCACTTAACTTTAAAGCATAGGAGAGCCAGAAGTTGAGGCCCCACAGCAAATTAGTGGCAGAGCATCTAGACGGAGGAAGTTTACTAATACAAATCTAAATTCATGTGTTAGAAGCACTGGGCTAGGCACAAATGACAAGGATAAACAGAGCACCATGTCTCCTTTCTTATATTTATTTACATACAGATACATCATAGACTCACCATAAATATTTATTGGATTAGTGACTACATTCCTTACCCCGTAGGGCACTGTGTCAAGCACTGAGGATAAGATAGTAAAATAAGCTGGTCACTTCTTCCAAGTTGCTCACAATTTGGTGTTCCTGTCCTCAGTGAGTTTGCAATCTCTTAGGAAAGCCAAGATAAATGCCCACAAATGCAGAGAAGATTGGGTTCCAATACAGCGAGTGCTCTCCGAAGTCAGAAAAGGAATCTAAGCGCGATAATTGATGAAAATCCTCCCCCTCCCCCCGCCCATCATTTAATTACATCATTCTCTGCGGTTGCCTTTCCGGGATCTCCCCTAGGCCTGGACACAGATTCTGCTCAAGGTAAGGTCAAGATGCCAACTCACGGAGATTAAGGGAAAAATCAGGAGCCCAACCATCCCTGTTTTCTAAACTGGAAAAGACCTGGGTGAGGACGGGGGAGAAAACAGCCACAGAGACTGAGAGAAACCATAAAACTGGAATAGGAAGTCCTCAACACAGTGACCACTCCGCGAGCTCCGGGCTGGCCGCCCCCACCGGCGGCGCGCGCGGGCTCACAGAGCAGCCCAGCGGGCGGCCGCGCGGGCGCAGAGCGGGAGGCGGAGAGGCGCGGGCGGCGGCAGCGCCGGCGAGCCCACGGGGCGGGTCGGCAGCGCATCCAGTCCCCGCAGCCACCAGCGCACAGCGCAGCTCGAGAGCGGGACGCGGCGCCGAGAGCCCCGGCAGCGCCCACCCTCCCTCCCGCGTCGCCTGCCAGCGCGCCAGCGGCCGCTCCGCCCGTGACTTCAGTTCAGCTCCACCCCCGCGTGGCGGCGGCTCTCTCGGTCCGAACCCGCGCTCCGCACCAGCCCAGCCTGGGCGAGCGGCCGCCACCTGCCCGGCGCCGCCTCCGCCCGCCCCACCACCGCCCAACTTGGATGGAGTTGGGGTCCTGAGCGCCTGTCCTCCACTGCCGGCCAGCGGAGAGCCCCGCGCCGCCACCTCCGGTCCGGGACCCCTCTCCGCTGCTCTCCGCTCCGCGATGGGAAAAGTTGGCGCCGGCGGCGGCTCCCCAGCCGGGCTGAGCGCGCTCCTCGCCGGCGCGGGGCTCTTGCTCTTCTGCGCCTCGGGCGCCTGCGGCGGCGGCTCCTGCAGCCCCCACCTGCACCCCAGCTCCGGCCCGCGCTGGGCTCCGACCCCAGGGGGATTCCTTCACCAGGGGCCGCGAGGCAAGCCTCCCGCCACGCCCCCGCCCCTCCTTGGGCGCCCCCTGTTCGCAGTGGCCCCCGGAGACCGAGCCCTGTCCCTGGAGCGGGCCCCGGGCACCGGAGCGTCCGTGGCGGTTGCTCCACGCTCTGGCCGGAGGAGACGGAGTGGAGCGGATCAGGAGAAGGCAGAACAAGGAGAGGGCTCCAGTAGAAGCCCTCGGGGAGTGCTAAGGGACGGAGGTCTGCAGGAGCCTGGGACTCTGGAGCGGGACCCGGACAAAGCCACTCGCTTCCGGATGGAGGAGCTGAAACTGACCAGCACCACGTTCGCGCTGACAGGCGACTCAGCACATAACCAAGCTATGGTCCACTGGTCTGGCCACAACAGCAGCGTGAGTAGAATGGGACTGAGGGCAAAGGGGTGAAAGATGGGATCTGATAGAGAATTTGGAGAAATGGGGTTTCTGGACTGGAAAGATGCTGGAAACTGAAGTCTTGCCTGTTACCCCCCCCCTCCCCAGGAGATAATGTTACCTACCTACTAGGCAGGAGACTCCCTCCACCACCACCCCGCGGCCCCCCTCCGCCCCCCCCCCCCAAAAAAAGAAAAAAAGAAGAGAGTCCTCTCCAAAACCCAAACAAAGATTTAAACAACAGGCAGATCCCTGTTTCCTGCTTCTAGGGTCGCAGTGGTGTAGTAGCGTGGATCTGAAGACCAGTCGGAGGGGGTTAAATAAAGTATTCTGAATGCGGAGGTGAGAGGGTTAAATTTCCAGGGAGGCTGACATTCCCCCAAGTGACTTTCCCTTTACTTGCTAGACTTATGGATGAGGGCAAGTAAAATCAATAAGACTTTATTTGAGGATTTTTCTTTCATTTTTATGCTGAGCTACTACCCCGCTCTTCCTTACCAGGGAGGAGAAATGCAGTGGACAAGGTATCCCTTAATGTCTCCTCTGTTTCTGGAGACCGAGTGGCAGGCAAGTTTCAGGACGGGAACTCTCCAGCATCTCCTCACAGCACCAGCCAGTGTGTTTTGAGAGCCGGGCTTTTCAGCCTGTGAATGAGTGGTTGTTCTCTGGCATGATCAGTCCCAGGCAGATCAGATATACCCCAGTGACAACAACTCCCTGTTCTCCCCCGTTGCCTGACCTCCTCTGGTGAAGAGCACAAATACAGACTTAGCCTCCCTTTATGAAGTGGGGAGAGGGGTGTCCCGGTTCCAGAAGGCTGACGCCGGGGAGAGTGAGAGTCCGAGAGCATTGGCTAGGTCAGGGAAGGTTTTAGATTTTTGGAAAAGCCTGCCTCTCTGGAAGAGGAGGTAGCGACTCCAGTCTAAAATGCACCTGGAAACTTCAGTGAGCTGAAATAGTAGAGAGCCGGCTTTGACGGTAGCAACTGAAGGGGACTGAAAAGTGTGGAAACCTCTCTAGGCTGCCATTTAAGCAGACAAGAGGAAGATCGTAAAAACCAAGGATGGGTAAAATGAAGGGACGTAAGTCAAAGTTTCAGCTTCCATCAGGTTATTGAGATTGTAGTATTTCTAATACGCGCCATCTCTGCAGCCTGATGCCTTTCTAAATGTTTTCAGTCGTGGTGTAACCGCCAGAACCATCCCCAGGGAAGTGCCACTTCAGTGAGTTGTGCTCGTCGTCAGCTTTTTAATGAAAGTTGTGAATGTTTTAAAATAATAGCGTGTCATTATGGAGTCCGTGGGTACGTACATATAAATTGTATAAAGGCAAATCATGATAAATAAATAGTATTTTGCATTGATGTCTCTGTTCTGAGAGCATCAGCAAGGTATTCCCTGCAATTTAGCTTCCATGACGGAGGCTGTGGTTTTATATGGTTCTCAGGATTGATTTAATCCAACAGTTGAAGCTGACTTTTCATTCAGGTTCTTGAGACCCTTGCCCTCATTCCTGACCTTAGCTATCCTATTTTTCATATCATAACTACTAAAATTAATCACCAGATTTGAACTTGAATCTTCTTAGACTAATTGAATAACTTTTGCACTGCTCTAAGTGATTCGCTCAAAGCTTCTGGATTTAAGGGGAGATTTTAAACACATCGAACATATTAGATCCTTTGTATCAAGGAGTAAAGGACTTTGGACTCAAACTATTTCTGGCTTTTAATGTAATTCAAGCTGTAAAATATCACTCACCCATTAGACCTCTATTTTAGTTCTTCTCTTGAAAGATCTTGGAAAGAGCGAGAAAAGGAGAGTACATCTTTGGCAAATTTTACACTCCATTTAAGAAATGGCGCCAAGCACTGCCAGATTTTTTTTTTTTTAATGGTGCTTATAAGTCCAGTAGGGCTTATTAGGGCCAGGACTTGGAGGGGAGACATGCAGGGAAGTCTGAGGTAATGTAGGAAATAATCAAGGTGGTGTATGTTAAAGGTTTGATCACTCACATCCTGTTAACTAATGAGATTTCTACTCAATATTTTAAGGCTCTTAGTTTTGTAAGGACCTCTCACCTTTCCCCGTCCCCATCCTTGCCTGCTTACATGCAGCTTTTTCTTTTTTTCTTTCTTTCTTGCTTTTTTTTTTTAGTGTATAGATACAGAATGGTAGAGGAACAGTCTCTATCTAGGTCCTCCAAAACAAAGCTGACCCAGATTCATCGGTGAGACAAAGTTTCAAATATTTTTTACAGGGAAGAAAGATAGAAAGAAACTTTTTTTTTTCTTTTGCCCAACTTTATGACATGAAAAGCAGAGTGGAGACCCGAGTTCGAGTTCTGGTAATCGGTATTTGTGTTTTATGTAACGGCATGGCGGCTGTACTGTGCAGTGCGCCTGTTTGGAGCTCTCTTCCCCCCAGAGTTAGAAATACACTGATCTAAGCCTGAGGACAAGGTGGGGGCGGGGCGGGGGGGAGCTGGCAGCTCTCATTTTTTCACTTTTAGTTGTCTTCCCTTATAAATTCCCTTATGCATTCAAGGCTACAGAAAATACACATCCTAGGAACTCTCCTTACTTTTAGCAAAAAGCCTTTGTAACTAGGGCTGCTTCTGATGACAATGATACCTGCATTAAAGGTGTAAATGTATGGTAATTTTAGGCTGCCTGTCAAACTTGTGGGAGATTCCAGGTGGCTCTCTCACCTCTTTCCCTTCTCCTGCCCTCTCCAGCTGTTGGACTTGTGCAGTTGGGTAACAACAGGACTGTTTTGCCTCATCCGTGGGTGTGATGTGATTCCTGTGTACTGCAGTCTAGCTTATTGGAAACTGTTGCTAGAGTTGGTGGAACACCTGGGGGGATCTTTTGGCATGAAAGGTGCTGGGTATGAATCATTTGTCATGAGCTTGGTGTAATAAGCAAGAACATATTGTTCCTACCCTACTCATCTGAGGCATGCTGTGCCCTGATCTAAATTTATATGGTATCCTCAGTTTGTGAAAATATATGCTTGTCTATGTATGTATGTATGTATAATGGGACATGTGTTTATTTCTTATTTCTGAAGAATTTCAAAGTGCCATCCTCATTAATCCTTATAAAATCCTTGTTAGGTAATAGGTAGGTGGTGAGTGTTAATATCTCTTTCCTATTTTAATGCTAGACTCAGTTTGAATATTTCAATTCACCACCACCATGTCCCCTTCTTACTAGAAATAGTGTCGTAATGTTTGTTAACAGAGGCTTTTACTTGACATGTCTGGCCATTATGAAATCTTTAATGCTGCACTTATCATCAAGCATGACAATCTGGTTGATTCTTGTGTACCTATTTGCCTTCCCTTGTTCTGGGGCTTGAAATTTACCATCCACCCCTAGTGAATAAACTGAGTTGTGTCCCACCTTGAGTCAGGCATTTTGGGTAGGTGCTTTACATTCCATCATCTCACTGAATTTTCCTCAAAAAACATGTTGTTACTCAGAGGAGGAAACTGAGGCTTTGTTAGGCTAAAGGACCTGCCAAGAGGGTACAAAAGATCAGTAGCAAAGCCAGGGACTGGCCAGCAGAGTGATCTGACTCCACAATCCCACTGAATGGCTTGTCTTAAAGACCTTAAGGCAGGACAGAAAAACTCAGACATTTTAGAGTCTGTGTTTTAAATACCCTGTCTTGGTTGGATTTCAGGTAATGGTGGAGGAGGCATAGTCTGAGCTGGAAGCTCCATGTACTTGCAGAGAATCAGGGACTGCAAAATGCGCCTGCCACATTGCACTCCACCTTAAGTAGTGATTTGGTTGTTCTCTTATCCACCCACCTCTTCATCTTTAGTGAGATGTGGAATCTGCAACTGGTGATTCATTGAGCACGAAGTAACCTGCCATCATTCAGCTTTCAGATCTGGTGTGCTTCAGGAATAGATTCCTTTTCTAAGTTAATTACACATCTGATTTTATAGGGAGGTTGGTTATAAACACTTGATTTGGCTATATATTTTGACATAGGGCTTTTTGAACTGTTTATTGTTGTTCAGTTACAGCTGTCCCACCGTTTTCCCCATTCCTCACCCCTACCCCGTCTCCTCCCAGACCTACAGTCAATCCCCCCATTGTCTGTGCCCTTGAATCCTCTGTTCCTTTTCCTTTGCTTTCCCTTCCCCTACTTTCGCCATTGTCCCCCTCCTCCTTCCCTTCTGGTCACTGTCAGTTTGTTCTTTATTTCCAAGTCTCTGGTTCTATTTGGCTCATTTGTTTGTTTGGTTAATTAGGTTCCACTTATAGGTGAGATCATATGGTATTTGTCTTTCACTGCCTGGCTTATTTCACTTGGCATAATGCTCTCCAGTTCCATCCATGCTGTCGTGAAGGCAGGAGTTATTTCTTTCTTTCTGCTGCGTAGTATTCCGTGTGTAAATGTACCACAGTTTTTTGATCCAGTCATTTACTGATGGGCACTCAGGTTGTTTCCAGCACTTGGCTATTGTAAATAACGCTGCTATGAACTCTGGGGTGCATAGGTTCTTTTGAATTGGTGATTCGGGATTCTTAGGGTATAGCCCCAGCAATGGGACCACTGTATCTAAAGGCAGTTCCATCTTTAGTGTTTTGAGGAAGTTCCATTCTCTTTTCCACAGCGGCTGCACCAGTCTGCATTCCCACCAACTGTGCCCTAGGGTTCTTTTTTCTCCACAACCTCACCAGCACTTGTTTGTTGATTTATTAATGACAACCATTCTGACCGGTGTGAAGTGGAGCTGTTTTTAAAAGTAAAATGATAAAAGATTTTAGCTTTCTCTAGAAGACCACACAATTCCTTCTCTGGTCAGTGCTTTGTGCTATTAATGAATGTGAATACACTGTGACGGGGAAGGCTGTGGGTTTGGAAGCAGATTTGCATTTGAATGTTAGCTCTCCTGCTTACCAGCACTTTGCCTTGAGGGAGACACTTACATTCTTCAGCTTCAGTTTCCTCAACTAA